AAGTTGTCTCAAGTTACCCCGTTACACTGCAAATCCAAGTGTAGGACAGGTCGACACTTTAAGGCGTAGACCGTTTTGTCCTACGCTTGCAAGTGTCGACCAGTTGTGTCCGACGCTTTGAAGTGTCGACCACACAGTGTCCGACGCCTGCAAGTGTCGACCACAGTATGTCCGACGGCGGAAGTGTGGGGGCACAATAGGAAACGCAGTGTTATTTGCCGTAGGACTAACAGTGTCCTACACATGCAGGCGTCGGACACAGTGTGGTCGACACTTCAAAGCGTCGGACACAGCTGGTCGACACTTGCAAGCGTAGGACAAACTGGTCTACGCCTGGAAGTGTCGACCTGTCCTACACTTGGATTTGCAGTGTATATGGGGTAACTTGAGTGAGACACACCTAATTTTTACTTTGCTTTTTCACGGAAGTGGGGTTTTTGCCAGTCCATACTGATTTTCTGAGACATTTAACTCATTTTCAATGAAAAGTACTACTTGTGGAATATATTAGAAGATTTTTGGTCCTTATATTAAGATTTTTTCATCAAGGTTACATTTGGTAATTTGAGGGATAACGGCACTTCAAAAGCGCAACGATTCTCCCATTTCACATCCAACTCTGCCAACTAAGTACAGCGATTCAGCGATCTAACCGTGACACCTGTTAAGACATGTTTCTTTATTTCTACGCACACAAGTCCATTCCTGCAAAGATATAGTCTTAGTCAATTTTTTAAATTTACTCAAAATCCTTAAACTATTTTTACAGTTGTTTTTCTTCAAAAAATCGACGGTTTTTGGGCTATAAGTTGTCCGATTTCAATGACATTTAGCTCGTTGGAAAGGTAATTGAATTCCTCATGTTTTGAGACTTCAAGATTCACTATATCTCATCTGGTCCGTGTGTAGTCGAGAAAACAACACTCCAACTTTAAGCTGCATATCCACTTGGGACCCTCTACACTGTCTAAAGAAGTGAAGCCCGATCAAATGCGGCTTAGTTTTGATCTTAGAACGGAGAAGTCCGTTACTTTAAACCAACCTGTAGTACAAGGAGGTGCCAGTGTCAAGTTACGCCACACAACTTCCGTCAAATTCAATGAAATTTGGTGTCTCAAGTTACCCCGCACAGTTACCATTTTCTATAAAAGTCAGTATTACCCGATGAATGATGGGTTTCCCTCAAAACCAATGCTGCATTTAGAATGTTGAAATAATAGGGTTGAAAGGTACTACAGTCATTTGGGTCTCAGCAAGACGTGTTTCGAGTACCAAGGGAGACTTGTAACACTTCTCTAAAATTGTTAAATTTACTGAAATTGAAAAACCGTTATAGATCTGACCAGCTTGGTCCCAACCCGCCGTTCACACGCTTCATCGTCTTTCCAAACAAGTATGAAAAAAAAGTGCTAGGGCAGTTTTGACCTCCGAATGTGCCGAGCCACGTGGCAGCTCCAAAAAGGTGGAAAAGCAGAAGTGTATCAAGTTACCCTTGCTGTCTCAAGTTACCCCGGTTTACGGTAGAAAAAACGTTTTATATTATGGAAAGCGAACATAATGATGGAAGTTCGTAATTCCAGATGGCATCAATGGAGACGTTGTATGTTTGACCCGTGACTTGCATCAAAATGCAATATTTATGGACTGTTGCATGTTGTAAACTTTGCGGGCAGGGAAAGGCCTTTATTTCAACTAAAAAACAGTTATGTGTATTAACAACTTTTGTTCGGAGACGAATCCATTGCCATACGCATTTTCAAAAATTCGCATTTTGAAAAATATACCTTTTTGGCTTCTAAATTATTATAAAAAATGTTGAAAAAGTTCGTCAATATGTTAGCACTTGCATGTCAACGTCTTTTTGAGTCTATTTGAATCTAGTTGAGTTGTGTACGCGGCTCTTCTTGGCCCGAGTTGACTTCCATACAGCTGTTTCAAACTGCCCCGGCCTGGGGCAGTTTGAAACAGATGCAAGGGTTGGAGTTTCACCTTATTATTAACGTTGAACGAACTTGTGAGCGTCAGCGGGCGTTTTCTAGTCTAGATAATGAGTCATTCTATTAATCTTGTGCAAACACGCAGCATGAAGACCAACAGTACGATTATAATAACGAAATTCCAAATTCTGTTTCAAACTGCCCCACCCTCCCTTAACTGCCCCACCCTTCATTAAGGCCTTACATCTAGGTTGGTTTAGGTCAGGTTGACCATCTTGTAAAAGACCCGTCATAATTTTTAGGCACGAAGTAGCCTTATAGTATACCCAGGATTCAGCCGGCCCGAGATTCGATTTGTGTGGCCCTTTATGCATTTCGGAAATTTTCTATACGATTTTAATGAGATTTTGCAGACTTGTAGAACTTTGAACGCTGATTCTGATGCTGAAATCTGGTTAAAAATTTGGTGGCCAATTTTGAGAAATTTGCTGTCAAAATCGCCGTTTCCATGGCAAAACTCGACTCGTCAAAGGAAAAAAAAGGGAGTGGGGGGAGCCGAGCCGAGCCGGACCAATAGCGGAGCTTCTTTTTGGGTCTGTACAGCTTACTCCAAAAGCTGAAATAGCACGTTCGAAATGAAAAATTTCTTTGACTGCAGGTAGACAAGATGCAACAATAGAATTGGTGTCGTTTCGAACGTGGCCATTTGGATCGGCCGGCCGGCCAGTGACTTTTTATGAGAGTGTCCCGCACCAATCCCGCACCGCTGCGTTGTTGTTTTTGTTGTTGTTTTGTTGAAAATTTTTGTTACTCTTCAAATCGGAGTGAATTGAGCCATTTAACTGCGTACCTGTGCACATGCACCTGTGAATTATCTTTCCTTAATGTAGTTTAAGAGTCGCTTTGAGACTTTTAGTCTCTTTTTGAATAAGCTGGTCATGTAGCTGCTCCTTTTAGCCAGGTTTGATGGTACTTCTGATTCAGTTAGCACCATGATCACTTCGCTCCACCTCGCGACTTTCAGTGCTCATGTTCTTCGAACAAGACTCACCCGCGTTTTGAGACCATCCCTCTCGAGTTTATAAAGTTTGTCAAGCCAACCGTCGTGGTGTTGCTACGTTGTGAGTGAGAACTATTACACAGAATTGAAGAAAACATGACTAGAGAACCGTAGCCTTTTGAAACAAGCCAAACAATTCAACGTCAGCAACAATGGAGGGGCGGTTTTAATGCGCGACTATACTCGTGTTTTCAGCTTCGCGATTTTCGCAAGGGCGCAGACGCCGACAAAATTGTTGCCAACCCGCGAAAATTAATTTACTGCCTTTTTCGGCTACCAAAATTTTCATAATGATGGACTTCTAAGATGTTCCTTTGTCAGATCACTGTGGAATACACTAGCATTGGAATTTTTCGAATTTCCCGTCCAAGGTTAAATTTTGACGGGTGGCACATCGACCACCCCGTACCTTTCACATAACTTTTTTGCTTTCCCCACACTCCTACCCAAATTGACTTCGTGACTCCTAGGATTTCTTGAAATCGTATTTTTTCTTTTTAAGATTTGGTGTTATGATTTACATTCATATTTTGTTACTTAAAATACTTCTTTGTACTGATAGCATGGTCCTGGATGGCATGCAACAGTCACTTTTCTATTTTATTGAGAAAAGCTAAAATTTCATCTTCCGCGCAAAGTTTTTTCGACAAGAATTGAGACCAGACCTTAAAAAAAATTTGGATCGTTTCACTTCAACCACCCACCTCTATGGTCCAAACCAAAAATTTAAACCAGAAAATAAAAAAAAAGCCAAATAAATACATAAAAACCAAACTTTGAACCTTTGTTAAAACAATGATGATGTAGAGATTTGACGGTTTAAAAAGGAGCTAAACAAGTGTCAGTCAGTATTTTTATTTCTTGTCTTCTTCCCCCTCCGGCTTGCTTCCCTCACTCTTGGCCAAGGCCCTACAATACTCCTCTTTCTGAACTCACCCACCAAGCAAGGTGTCACTGTTGCCCAGACTATAAATTGGATCGCGCCTCAGCGCCGGTCAACAGTCTGTAGCCTGGTCTCGGTCTGTGCGCACCTCCCTAATAAACCAGTGAATCCCTACTCTCTCTCGTCACTTATCCGTTCCTCATCACTATTAGTGCCCTACACTACAATGATTTTGTTTGTATTTTTTTATTTGGATGTATTAAGTTTCTAGTATATATTTTTGGTTTGGACCATAGAGGTGGTTGAACTGAAGCGTTCCATTTTTTGGCCCGTCCCGTTTATTTTTTGTAAAAAAATGACGGAGGGACGGGCATATAGTATGATGCATGCTGTGCGTCCGTTCGTTCGTTCGTCCGTTCGTTCGTTCGTTCGTCCGAGGACTTCCCGAGGTCCGATCTTGACCAAAATTGGTATGCAGCCTCCTTGGGTGACCCTAAGAACCGCCCGGTGGCAGCAAATCCGATCCGAGCCCCGGGAACGCTGCTGCAGGTGCATCATGGTCTACATGGGGTCGAGGAGGATCTCGGCAACGGATGCAGCTAGAAGGGCATGTAGGGGTATTTTTGGAATCGGGGCGACGAGAAAAAACCAATGGTGCCAGTTTCGAGAGAATCGGAGAAGTTCGGACCCGGGTTCAAATCCCAGCGGGGCATTTTTTGAACATTCTTTTTATTCGAGTTTTTGCATTGTTTCTGACGTTTTTGAGGGTGCTGATGACGAAAACGACATTTATTTTAACCCCAGACTCAGGTTTAATTCCCGTCAGGGTCAAACATAGGCGAAATTCGTACGTATCTTACTGTGTGGGACGGGCCAAAGTTGCCGATGTAAATCGCTACTTTTCCTGTTATTTTTATTTATATTTTTTTTTAGGTCTGGTCTTTTTTGTCGAAGAAACTTCACGCGCCAGATGGAATGATAAAATGGGAAAGTGACTGTTCCATGCCGTCCAGGATCATGCTACCGGTTCAACGAAGTATTTTAAGTAACCTAATATAAAGGTAACCCGAAACACCAAAGCTTAAAAACATAAATTTTTAACGGTTTTTTTAGTCAGATGGTCAACCTGACCTAACCTAGATAAAAGGCCTAAAGTGGCACTGCCACCTTGATGTGCCGTCGGATCGAAAGCAAATTGACAATTTTCTTTTTTCGTCTTTCCAGTCCCGTGTACGCGAAGCGCAACAATGGGGGCAGTCAGTCAAACGTTGGGAAACAATACGAAACATCTCTGCACAGTTTGATTGCTCTGAAGGCATTTTCCGAAAGCATCAAGGGAGAACAAACTTACGAAGAAAGCAATTTTGATTGCTTCGATGATCTTTGCTTTAAGTACAACACGCGTGGTGCCACAAATTTAATACTGCTGCAAGCAAAGCATGCCGCCAATCCTGGATCAGAGATCAATCAAGCGAGCCTCTGTACAGAATATGGAGCAAAAAGGAATGGTTTTTCCTTAGTTAAGTACTTCATGGCCTATCTGGAAGTCAAGCGAACAGCACTGAATAGTGGAGAGAAAATAAACCGTGTCGTTTTGTTCACAAATAAAGGATTGGCTGATGGATTAAAGCAGAAGTGTGACCAGCTGCCAAAGGGAATCCTAGAATCTCCTTTCAAAGAGCTTTTCAATTCTTCTAGTTATGACAAGCATCTATTTTACGTCATCAAAAACGTTGACTGGATAGCTTTTGATAGCCAGACGAAAGTGACAGAACGTCATGAGGAACTCGTGCAGTGGTGGAAAGACCGTCACATGGAAATCGACGCTTTAAAAAAGGAGTTCCTAGAAGCACTTATTTTGGCAGTCAATCAGCCAGACGTCGAGGAGCTCAAGAAAATTCAAGAAGAAGTGTTTGCTGGCTTACTATGTTGTAAACAGATGTCTAAAAAAGAAGAGAAATACGTTCGAAAATTTTTTAATGGAATAGTGAAGGACTGGATGGATGAAAGGGGCGAAGAAGTCACAGCATGGACCTTACAAACGACAGAGAAATGTTTCCAAGACGCAAAAGCAGAGCTGAGCGGCGTCAAGATACGAGGCTTTTCTGAGGCGAACAGAAGACAACTGGAAATGGGTGTGAGTGTGACGGTCAACCTCCAGCAACCACGATTCAACTTCCAGCATCCTCAACTCGGAAAGGATTCGCAATACCCGAATGTGTTTGAAACCGAACAGCTCTCAATCAACTCACGTCTCGCCGTTCTGGAAGCCGGACAGAGCGAATACAGGCTTCTGAGAGCCGAAGAGTTGACGGAGGTCCTCTGGGAGAGCCTCGCCACATCAGATGTTGAGATCCTAATAATTGTTCATGAAAAGAATAAGTGCGTCAATGTCACCGTCGAAGACCTACGTCGACGACTGACAAACACCAGTTCGAGGTGGATTGTCTTGACAAACCAGCCAGGAGCTGGTTTTCGCCTTCAGGACATTCAGCCGAAGGATTTGGCAGAAGATGCTTTGAATGAAATACTCAGAAAAACCGTTGAATTTCAAGGAGAGCTCATTAATGTTCAAGACGTTGTTAATGACAATGAGGGCTTAAAGAACATTTTAAACCCTGAGATTATAGAAAAACTAAGTTCCGGCACAGAGATTCACATTGGACAGACCATTCCTTGCCCACCACAACCCTACATTCAACGACACCTCACACAGTGTGCCGACTCTGCAACAGAGACGGACAGAGTTTCAACAAGAGAAACTGCACGTCCGAGTTTCAAGGAAGACGAAGTCATTTTGAAAGCAGTGGAACAGAACAAGCACATCATCGTTAGCGCCCCACCCGGATCTGGCAAGTCGACTCTCATCTCCAGTTTGTGCAGAGGGATCAAGACGCAGCAGCCAGCTTGGTGGGTGGGGATGTGTGACTTGAGGAAGAAGATGACAGCACTCGGCAAGTACAAGGAAGGGAAGAAGGCATTGCGGGAACAAGAGGAAATCCCACCAGGCCTAACGGAGCCGGACTGGATCTTGTTCAGGGATCTGTTTGACGTGGATGAGGTAGAAGCGACGCTGCTCAAAGTAAGACTTAACGGCTATGGCAGGATTGTCCTTTTAGTAGACAGCTACGATGAAACAGCTCACATGTATGGGCGTGACATCGGAGCCTTCCTGAAGTCGCTAAGTGAAATCAAAACGCTGTGCATGTGTGTGGCCACTAGACCACATTTGCTTGAAGAGCTGAAGCTCGTGCTTAATGAGCGCCTAGACTTTGGTCTAGATATGCTCACACGAAATGAACAGGTTGATTTGCTGGCTCAGTTACGACAAAAGAAATCTTCGTCAGAAAAAGCGTTGGAGGACTATAAAAGCGAAGCATCTGAGGTAATAAGGAAACTTCCCTCCCAGTTTCCTGATAACCCGTTGCATTTGTTTATGATTAGCGAGACCTTCGGAACTGAAGGTGGACGCGGTGAAGTAAATGATGTATCACTTTACAGATTGTATCACTGCTTCGTCCAGATGAAGTTCGACTGCCACTGGAGAGAATTAAAATATGATCCTAAAATGGAGGCTGAGAAAAATAACAAAACGATGGAAGACGAACACAAGCAAATCGCAATTAGCTACTTCCTTGGTGAAAATCACGAGTGGTACCACGAAAATTGTGTTGATCTCTTAGCAAGAGTTGTGGAAAAAAATGTTGGCTTAGTTTCTAAGGACAATCGTGGCCGTCCATTATTTGTCCACGAAAGTTTTGCTGAGTATTTTCTTAGCCTGTATCTTTATGACAAACTGAAAGACTCCATTAAGTCAGAGTCGATGACAAACACTTTAACCCAAGTTTTGGCTTCATGTGGGTTGCATCAGATTCGTGTTTTTTTGGATGGTAAGCTCAAAGAGAAGCCGATTTTTCGAGAACGGTTTACTGCAACAATGCTCGACTTGCATTCAACTACGGTCCACCGAAAAAACAACATGTCTTGGAGACTTTGCAAGACAAGAATAAATTTTTTGACAGTACCCACTCATGAATGTCTGCCGGCATTGATGTGTCACATGTGGCAACTTCGACAGTTGCTCTCAACTGACGACCAGGCTCTTTTCCTACTTGATGCCGCGTCTAGTGCTTGCCATTATGGATTGCCCATCTTTGCGAAGCTTGCACTTAGCGAAAGCAACGTCAACGTCAACGTTGCTTCGCAAAATGGTTGCCGAGCACTAGACGTTGCTTGTAACAGTTTGAAGAATGAACCAGAAGAACGAACTGTAGTGCAACTCCTTATCGATGCAGGTTGCGATGTTAACGCGACGAGACATGACGGGAGGACCGCACTCCACATGGCTGCTGCAAATAGCAATCCCGATGTCGTTCAAATGCTCATAAGGAATGAATCCAACGTGAACGCGTGTTCAAACAACGGCTTCACCGCACTTCACTTTGCTTGCGACAAATATTCAGTCGACAAATGGTTCCCCAGTGCGGGGCAGGAAGAGAATGTGGTAAGAGTGCTCCTGGACAACGGGTGCCTCGTGGATGCCGCAGCGCAGCATGGTCTTACAGCGCTTCACTTGGCTGCAAAGAAGTGCAATTATGATTTCGTAAAATTGCTATTACAGAAGAAATGGAACGCAAACGCGTTGACGGATAGCGGTATGACACCGCTGCACCTGGCCGTTCTTCAGGAACACGTTGATGTGAATCAGCAGCTTGAGGTGGTCCAGCTCTTACTGGGAGCAGGATGCAACGCGAAACTGGAGTCAAAGTACGAAGGGACTGCACTAGACATGGCAATCAGAGGAAACAAATTGGAAGTAGTAAAATTGATGATTAAAGGGCTGGACGACGTGCAGGCGTCATCAAAGGACGGTTGGACTGGTCTTCACACTTCCGCTGAGAGTGGTAAACCTGATATAGTGAATTATTTTTTGGAAATAGGATGTGATGTTGACGCGAAGACCAAATACGGCTGTACTCCACTGCAATTGGCTACTCGGAAGGTTCACCTTGGCGTTGTCAAACGACTTTTGGAAAATCACGCTCATAGAATTGACCACCTTGGCCGAACTCCGCTTCACATTGCAGCAGAAGCCAGTAAACTTTCTGTGGTCGAATATTTCTTGAAAAATGGATGGGACGCCAATGCAACGACAAACGAAGGTGAGACTGCTCTCCACTTGGCCGTGACCGGAAAAAGTCTGCACGGTTGGAAGAGCCTTATTGATGTGGTCAAAGCACTCATAGCAAGAGGATGCGATGTCAACGCAGCGACGAAAGATGGGAAAACTGTGCTTCACCTCGCCGCTGAACGCGAAGAACTCGATATTGTGAAACTGCTCTTGGCTGCAAAGTGTGACGTCCATTCAACAACAAACGGCGGCAAAACGGCACTCCACTTGGCCTATGGATTTTGGCGAAGCGAGAGAAGTACTGATTTGATCAAAGTACTCATAGGAAATGGATGTGATGTTAACGTGCCGACAAATGACGGGAAAACTCTGCTTCACATTGCCTCTGACCGTGAGGACCTTGAAGTTGTACGAATGCTCCTGGATGCGAAATGCGATGTTAATGCAGCGATAGAGGACGGCAGCACTGCACTTCACATGGCCATAAAATCTTGGCAAAGCCAGGGACTGGTCAATGCTCTTATAGGAAAGGGATGCGATGTCAAGGCAGCGAAGAACGATGGGACAACTGCGCTTCACCTGGCCGCTGAAAGTGGTAAACTTGACGATGTAAGACTCCTCTTGAATGCGAGATGTGACGTCAACGCAGCAACTGCAAAGGGATGGACTGCACTTCACTTCGCCGAAAGGTGGGGAAAAGTTGATTTGGTGCAAGAACTCGTTGACAGGGGTTGCAATGTCAACGCAGCGACAAATGACGGGAGGACTGCCCTTCACCTTGCGGCTCAGTATGGCCATCTCGACGTGTTAAAACTGCTCGTGGCAAAGCAAGGTGACGTCAACGCAGCGACAAATGTCGGGAGGACTGCCCTTCACCTTGCGGCTCAGTATGGCCATCTCGACGTGGCAAAGCTGCTCGTGGCAGAGCGATGTGACGTCAACGCAGTGACAGAACGGGGCTGGACCCCACTTCGCTTTGACGCAGAGACAGAACGGGGCTGGACCGCACTTCACTATGCCGCGGAACGCGGCCAGCTTGAAATGGCAAAATTAGTTCTGGCAGAGCAATGTGACGTCAACGCGGTGACTGAAAACGGCTGGACTGCACTTCACTTGGCCGCCAATAGCGGCAAACTTGATGTGGTGAAACTGCTCGTGGCAGAACAATGTGACGTCAACGCGGTGACCAATGATCACGAGACTGCGCTTCACTTGGCCGCCAAGTGGCCTGACCTGGAGTTGGTCGCTATCCTTTTGGAAAGGGGATGCGATGCGAACGCAAAGACATACCAAGGCATGACTCCACTTCACACTGCTATTTCGAGGTTCGAACCCCGTGTGCTGAACATCTTGGTGAAACCATTCAACAATGCGCCGTCGGTAGGATCTTTCGCAACATTGCCTGTGGGGAGCCAGGTAGGGCTATATTTTAAAGAAAACGGTTTTGATCAAGCAATAGACATTGAAGAAGGGCAGTCTACAATAACTGCTACTGTGCGTTCTGCTCACCTTCAAGTGGTTAAACTACTCATCAGTGAGGGATGCGACGTTCACTCCAAGACCAACGCAGGGACTACACCACTGCACTTAGCAGTGACATTCGGCAATCTTGCATTGGTCGCACTGCTCCTAGCTGAAGGATGTGACGTGAACGCTGTAACGTACAAAGACCTGACATACTCGTTCGGGAGAATCCAACAAGATTCCTTTACGGCTCTTCACTTTGCATCCAAGAAGGGAAACCCTGGCGCGGCCAAACTTCTCCTAGAAAAGAGATGTCAACGCAACGCCGCAACGAAGGACGGGCAAACTGCGCTTCACTTCGCAACAAGGGCCGGCCATGTAGAAGTGGTCAAAGTGCTCCTGGAACACGGATGCTATGTCGATGCGACCACCAATGACGGGCGTACTGCACTTCACTACGCCGCGTGCTCATTTAGAGAAAACCTTGATATAGTAAAACTACTGCCAGAAAAGGACTGCAACGTAAACATGGTGGATGATGAAGGGTATACAGCTCTTCACCTTGCTGCGAGAAGAAAACTCAACATTCATGCGAAGACAAATGAGGGCATGACTGCACTTCACGGCGCGTCTTGTCATCCTGAAATGTTACAAGTTTTTATCGAATACGGATGTGACGTGAACGCGGTGACAAACGACGGCTGGACTGCTCTCCACTTGTTCACAGAAGGACATGCCCTTACATCTGGTGTGGTACAATTGCTAGCAAGAAATGGATGTAATTTAAACGCAGCTACAGGAGACGGGCGCACTGCACTTCACTTTGCCGTCCGCTGGACCGTGGAAACACTTGATGTTGTGCGAACACTTCTTGACTGTGGCAGCGATGTGAAGGCGAAGACAAACGCTGGAGAAAATGCACTCCACTTTGCCGCTCAGGGTCATGGAAGAACAGCTGATGTTGTAACCCTGCTTTTGGATAGAGGGTGTGAATCAAACGCAGTGACTAATGAAGGTTATACTGCACTTCACTTTGCTGCCCAGTCTTGTTATCCTGAAGTGTTGAAGTTGCTTTTGAAAGCGGGATGTGATTTGGACGCGGCAACAAATGAAGGATATACTGCACTTCACTTTGCTGCCCAGTCTTGTTATCCTGAAGTGTTGAAGTTGCTTTTGAAAGCGGGATGTGATTTGGACGCGGCAACAAATGAAGGATATACCGCACTTCACTTTGCTGCCCAGTCTTGTTATCCTGAAGTGTTCAAGTTGCTTTTGAAAGCGGGATGTGATTTGGACGCGGCAACAAATGAAGGATATACTGCACTTCACTTTGCCGTAAGTTTCCGAGTCAATGTGCTAGCCCTTCTTGACGAGGGATGCAACGTGACTGCGAGGACAAACGCTGGAGAAACTGCACTTCACTTAGCCGCTCGGTTCTTCTACGCCGAAGTTGACGTGATCAACCTGCTTTCAGAAAAGGGGTGTGACGTCAACGCGGTGACAAATGAAGGCTTTACTGCACTTCACTTGGCCGCTCGGTCCTTCTACGCCGAAGTTGACGTGATCAACCTGCTTTCAGAAAAGGGGTGTGACGTTAACGCGGTGACAAATGAAGGCTTTACTGCACTTCACTTGGCCGCTCGGTCCTCTTATGCCAAAGTTGGCGTAATCAAGTTGCTCTTAGAAAAGGGGTGTGACGTGAACGCGGCGACAAATGGAGGTTTCACTGCACTTCACTTGGCCGCTGAGTGGAACAACCTCGAAGTGGTGAAAGTGCTCCTAGCAAAGGGAAGCAACGTGAGTGCCGCAACCAACGACGGACACACTCCACTCCACTTTGCTAGTCTGAGGGGGAACCTTGATGCCGCCACACTGTTAATTACACATGGCTGCAACGTTGACGCAGCTACTGAAGATGGAAAGACTGCACTTCACTTCGCTGCAGAGTGGGGAAACCTTGACTTGGTCAAACTGCTGTTCTCCAACGGATGCAAGGTTGACACGGCGTCAAAAGACGGCTTCACTGCACTGCACTTTGCGGGACTAAGAGGAAATCTTGGCATAGCCAAACTGCTCCGTGAGAAGGGATGTGATATTAAGACACCAATCGACGAAGAAGCACCTCCTCGACCGGACTACCTTTGTTTCAATCCTAATGTGGGGACATTCCTCATTGAAAGGGGGTGCGATGTTAACTTGGCGACAAATGACGGTTGGACGGCACTCCACTTCTTCGCTAAGACGGGTAATGTTGATGTGGTCAAACTGCTGATAAAAAGACGATGCGACTTGAGAGCAATGACAGACACCGGAGAGACTGCTCTTCACTTAGCATCAAAGTGGGGGAAGCTTGATGTGGTCAAAGTGCTCCTTGACAAAGTGCCCTCTGCGAACGAATCTAATTACGACAATCTTACTGCTCTTGACTATGCCATTGCATTTGGCGAAATGGACCAGTGATATTCATCTCTTGCCTTTCACGGAGACAGAGGTTAAAGGTTTCACCGTTCGTGCAAGAAACGCCGTTGAGATCGTTCCCCATTCAAACTCGCCGAGAAGAACGGTTACAAGAAAATTGATCTCAACACTGCCGTTACACTGAATATCATCAGACTACACAGTCACAGTAAAGACAATTAACAGAAGGAATCATCGTTCCAAAATACTACACCAATCCGTTTGGAAGAGAATGGCAATCGTGTCCCAGAAAATCGCATCTGGGAACATCAAGTGAGAGGAATGCATAAAAAGGATGACTTGAAGCAGATGAAGGGTACAGTAACTACTTGAATCATTTTGAAGAGAAACCAAGAACTGATTATGAGCAGCTGCATAAATGGATGATGCACATGGACATTAAAAAAAAGGCATGTCATAACTGTTAAAATGTCTTTAAGAATATTGTGAAGTAAAAACTGTGGTCATATCTTTTTTTTTGTAATTTAGGTTTCAGATGTATCAATTTTTGGTAAAAGTTCCTTTTTATTGGATAAACTTTAACGCTTAGACAGAGAGGCCACACCTGACTTCAGCACCTGAGAGTATCGGGCGAGGGGTCGTCAGCTTGCATATTACTTCGTACACAGGCTCTGTATTACTTCTATATTACTCTTATATTACCGCTAAAAATTCATAAATATTACCGAATAGACTACTTCAAGCCTAGGTAGTATGAAAAATCAGACAAAAAATGGTAATATGGGATGTGTATTACCACATACTGAATTACTGTATTACTTCGTACACGCTCGATAGGAGTTGACGATCCCTCGGTACCAGGTGTCTTGCGTATTTCTACCGATAACACGTTTGTTGAATAAGTACTCTATTGTGAAACCTGATACTGTCGGTTAAGTTAAATAAAATATACCAAAGCGGATCGGAAGAATTACAATGGTTTATTCTGCATGAAACACAAAACTAGACCGACACGCGGCACCTGCTGAGGCCCTACGGAAGACATTCACTATGATCCTTACCCTATAGGTCCCGTGCACATCGGTGAGCAGTGCGGTAGGGGTAGGTTGGGGAAGAAAAGTACAAAACGCGTACTTTGCACTGTACAGAAGTTCCAAATGAGGATTCAACTATTCTGCTCTCGTGAACTTGTAATCCAATGCCTTCCTAATGAAATGGATCACTGTTCATTGATTATAGTTCACCACATTACGTACAATATGCCAAAATGTATGTGATTTCGGAACTCCTCGAAAAGGGTAAGAAAAGTACACCACAGGGAAAGAAAAGTACAACGAAAAGGATTGCGATTTCGAACCAGGAGACCACTAATCTTGGCTCAATACAGGTTTACCCCTAAAGTGGAGAGTTTTCACTTGCCATTAGTTCAAGTTTCGTCAAAATCGGTCAATTGGTTCTGATTCTACATGGACTCATCACAGAAGGTGCAAAAAGCCTTTTCTCAGAGATAAGTGAGTACAGCATTTTTGTACTTTTCTTCCCCATTTTATGTAAATGCGCAATAACTTGTTTATTTCGAGTCTAATTCTATAACTTGTGTTGACATTTTTTGCTTGTCTCGCCTAATCAAATCTATTTCCGTGATCAATTTAATTTTCATCCCGCTTTTAGTTTCTTCGAGGGTGTTTTTTTCTTCCCCAATGGCTGTACTTTTCTTCCCCAGCCGACTGTACTTTTCTTCCCCATTTCAATTTTACACTTATAAAAAATTGTGTTGAAGCCTAAGAGCATCGAACGGCACTGTTTTTCAAAGATGATGGTCTAAGCTATAAGGTGGTACCTTACATTGGACTGTCGGCTGATTCTGCAGGAAGCTGTAATTCAAAGTACAAACATTAAAAAAAAAAAGATTTTCATAGTTATTTTTAATGTTTTTTTTCAAACATGCAGTTTGATTCAAAATATTAATTAAAGAACTGGGCTAAATTTATTTTTTGTCAGCGGGATGACCAATCTTTCGAAAACCACTAACGTGATGGTTCAGTGCAGTTTCAGTTCGGAGATATAACGGGTGTTTTTTTCTTACCCGAGCCTCGAGTGTACTTTTCTTACCCAACCTACCCCTAGCACCTCTGAGAAGAAGACGCTGAAGACTCTGCGTGCTAGACTCTGCGTGCTATGTACACTTCAGCCGAATGTGACCGATGGGAATGAACCCGCCTCTTCCCATGAGCAGATTTCGACAAAAAGAGATGCGTTCATAAATTCTGCGTGAACAGTTAATGAAAACTGAACCTGCTACTGCTCAAAGTTAAAAGATATTTAAATGTCCTTAGAACAATGTTACAATCTCCAATGAAATGGCAATTACTTTCTAGGCTACATCTCGAAAATGGTACGAATTAGGGTGAAAGTTCGAAAATGAGAACTATTAGCCAAGCAACTCAATGCCACCACAGAACACATAACGAAACTTAAAACCAAAAAGAAACAAGAATGCGACGAAAACATGCATAGCTAAAACTATAACAAATCAAAGTAAATTCTTCAAAAGCGACGCGGTCCACTCGTCCCTAGGATGTTTCGAGGAAAACCCGGTCGCAGTGCAGGCACTGCACCTTGACAGCACGCTGCGCGCCGCCTCCGCCAAGGCGCAGCAGGCCGCGAGGGCGTGCCGGGGCTGGCCCAGGACGAGCCGCGTCACGCGGAGGCCGCACGGATGCAGAAACGCGGCGAGGTCGCTGGACCCGCCGGGCCAATGGGTATCCCTCAGCGGGTCTAGGTACTGGGTCATTCCATGCCAACTCGACAGGGCTCGGACCGACACCTTGTCGGAGGCCATCGCCATAGTGGTCGATTGTTGGCCTTATGGTACTATTTGAAGACCCCAACTCAGTTTTTCGAAATCTGCACCGGGCTCCGAACTACGGCCTGATTTAGTTTTTCACATACATGACGACATGGGTGCACTAAAATGCAATTATCTCGGCAACCGTTCGTCGTATCTCAAATCCGAGACCACCGTTGGAAAGAGGAGACAAAACTACACAAAAGAATATTTTTTTGGGCTTTCTTTGAAAAAAATTATTGAAACTTCAAAAAAGGTGTAACTTTTGAAGTGTGATATCTCAAAAACCCATATTTTAAAATCTCTCAAAAAATTCCAAAATCTTCCTTTATTTATCATCTAAAAGAAAAGCTCAACCACCCAAAGTATTATTCTTCGTTTAGGAGAACGAGCGATTCGCGTGGGCCTCTGCAAACCACTTTTTCCCTATTTTCCCCCTTGAGTGGTGCGCCGGCGTGGCTATAGGGCCACCCCTAACACCCTGGCACTGGCGGAGGTGCTGTTCTTCATCGTGGTGTAACCGGTATGTTATACCCCCCTAGAGCTTTTTACCCCCGGTACATCATACCTAGGCATGTTTAACCCCCCGGTAAAATGTGCCTAGGCATGTTTTACCCCCCACCCCTGGGGGTAGGGGGTACAATGTGCCTAGGCATGTTTTACCCCCCGGTAAAATGTGCCTAGGCACGTTTTACCCCCCGGTAATATGTGCCTAGGCATGTTTTACCCCCCCCCCACCCCCACCCTGAGGGTAGGGGGTACAATGTGCCTAGGCATGTTTTACTCCCCCCCCCGGTAAAATGTGCCTAGGCACGTTTTACCCCCCCGGTAAAATGTGCCTGGTTGCTCCGCGTCTCTCGCACTCTGGGCGCTCCTAGTAGGGGAAAGACAGAGCGACGACTCTCGGAATCCGTGACCTGTTTGCCGCAGAGCTGATGTCAACGGGTTTAACAGTCATTTATTGGTCGGATCAGCACTTAAGTTTCGTCTCAGCTGTGTCCCACAGCTCGGTGTTAAAGGGTGAGGGGTAAAACATGCCTAGGCACATTGTACCCCCTTCCATCGAGGATGGGGGGTAAAACATGCCTAGGCGCAGTTTACCGGGGGGGGGGGGGTTAAAACGTGCCTAGGCACATTGTACCGGGGGGTAAAACATACCTAGGCACATTGTACCCCCTACCCTCGAGGGTGGGGTGTAAAACATGCCTAAGCACATTTTACCGGGGGGTAAAACATGCCTAGGCACATTGTACCGGGGGGGTAAAACATGCCTAGGCACATTGTACCCCCTACCTTCAGGGGTGGGGGGGTAAAACATGCCTAGGCACAATTTACCGGGGGGGGGGTAAAACATGCCTAGGCACAGTGTACCGGGGGTAAGGGCAGCCGGGGGGTAAAACATCCCGTCGACACGTGTGTGTGCGGGCTCAGCACGGGCACAGGGTGGGCACAGCACGGGCAGGTACGGGCGCACATCATCCGAAGGCGGGTCGAGACTTCGAACCCACATGTGGGCAAGTATGGGCAGATGCGGGCAGGCTCGGGCACATACTGGCTGATGCGGCTGCATCTGGAGTGCCTTGATGTTTGTGCCCGAGACCCATTCGTGGACGAGCTCGGAAAAGCTAAACACGAGTACTTTGCAAACTGAAGAGGGTATATAGCACACTCTTATTAAAGCATGCTTCTAAGCACACTCTTATTTACAGCATACTTGCCAGGCACACGCTAAAGTAGAGTATTCCTGGCGTGTGCACGCCAATTAAGAGTGTACATTGCAAGTACACTCTACACTAGACAAGGTAGGTTTACGCCAGACCGCGTCTTGTCGTAACAGGCTTCGCGATGTCTCGCTGCCTGTTCCTCCAATCCGCGCCTGGCGTACCTACCGTGGTACACGCCACGCCGTGGTACACGCCAAACACCATAAGAATCGCGCATTTTGTGAAAGAAGCATGAATTTTTGCACACACGTTCTTAAAGATCTAATGAACGATTTTGTCCGTGTTCTTTTTGATTTCGACGGCCCGTTCAACCTGGGCCGTTCAATTTGTACAAATTGAACATTATTTTTTAAATGCGTGTTATTGGAGCTATTTAGTCATGCGAGTCGACTTTTCCGCACAAGTCGATGGTGCTGAACACGAATCAAGGCTCAGACAGGTGATTCGAACACTTTTGAACACTCTTTTTGAACATTTTCGTACATTTCAGTGCATTTTCTTGAAACGCTTCTGGAACGCCGTAAACGTGCTACGAAGCCATTGCATTTCATCTGGAAACTTTCTTCACACCTTACCTAACGTGCATGAACACGCAGGGAACGTTTGGGAGCCCGTTCCGAACGCTGTTTGGAACACCAAGTTGTACAAAATTCAGGTTTTTCGAAATAAATCGTGCTGCACGTCGTTCCAATGGGAAACGGGCACGCTGATGACGAATCTGGACTAAGGAATAGTGATCGTGTACTCTGGAACGAGCTGCACACTGTTCCGTACACTGCATGGAACACCAAATCGAACAAATCCTAGGTTTGTCGGAGTAAATCGTTCTGCACGTCGTTTCAGTGGGAAATGGGCACGCTGATGACGAATCTGGACTCGGAACTAGTGATCGCGTACTCTCGAACGAGCTGCAAACTGTTCTGAACACCAACTGGAACACCGAGTTGAACAAAACGAAGATTTGTCGGAGAGAAGCGTCCTGCACGGCGATTCAATGGGAAACGGGCACGCTGATGAAGAATTTAGACTTGGAAATAGCGTTCGTGTACTCTTGTTTATGGTTTAAGGGTGGACGTTCAACAAACGGCTCTTTCAAGCATGACCCTCTCACTGTTACTAAGTGAGGTTGATGGGCAACACTGGGGGCCCTTAGTCCGCAGGCGCTGCAAACTGTTCCGGACAGCGGCTGGGACACCGAGTGGAACAGAACGTGGACAAATCCAAGCATGGTGTTTCTACTCCAATGACAGTTTCTTTAGTCAAGTGATTCACAGTCAATCTGAATAAGGCAGCCTGATAGGCCGCACGCAAAGAGTGTTGCTGCAAAGCATTTCTGGTCGGTGAAATCGTTGTGAGCCTCCTCACACCATCATACAGGTCTCTCCGAACGGCATT